TTCCAGTAGAAGACAGGTTTCAGTGAAAATGAAACCAAAAGACATAACTAACATTCTTCTGGAAATGGCCAAATCCGTCTTCGTGTACACCAGAATTAAACCAGGGCTAAAAGTGTCACCATTTTTTCAAAGCGATCGAAAAACAGTACCTCAAGCATCAGTATCCAATATGCCTTAAAGGTTGTACAGAGGATTTTTTAAGGGAAGAGAAATACAGCGACAGTCCTTTTTCAAACGTGCATGCGTGACACCACCTTCCTCCTCCACAACTCCCTCAGTAGAAACATCTCCTCCCGCCTCTTTACTCTAGAAATCACGTTTGTTTACAGCCAGTGCACGTTCAGAATTACTGTTGAAGTGACCTGTCTAGAAATAATTTTGCGATCGACGCGTCTTCAGTCTTTAGACCCTTCGTCTGCTTCAGTCGCACCATCTCTGGAAGGAATCTTCAAGAATCACCTCAGTTTGGTTTTGCTCCTTTTCCCCTTCTCTTCTTCTTTCAGTGACCTCAAAAACTGACTTTCTTTTGCGGCGAACTGGTCGTGGATTCTCGACCGCCGTCGCAACAGAGTTTGTGCGAATTGCGTGGAAGCTGCAGTTTGAAAAAGCCTCTAAGAATCGCTGCATAACCCACGTAATCCCAGCACGCCACGAGTCAGTTACTCTAGAAATGTAGGGAGATTGATTGACGACCTAACAGCCAATAGAAAATGAGGGAGCCTGGTTGTCTATTGGCTGGTGTTTATCTGGCTTCACTACGTCCACAGTTGATAGATTTTCATTCTTTTTTTTTTTTTGGTCATCATAATTACAAGGCTACTGCGTCTCTGTAGTGGTATTTTAAACTTTCATTGACAATTTGAAACTGAAAAAAAATCCTCTATACAACCTTTAAATGAGGGAGTAATATTTCCTTTTGCACCTTGTAGACACGAGCTGATGGTTTGAACTTCAGCCTCAAGTCTCTGTGTGGAGTTAGACTTAGACTTAGACAAACTTTTTAGATCCACAAGGGAAATTATTTGGACACAGCAGCTCACACATCACAAAATAATATAATAACAAAGAGAAAAAAATATAAAAGGTAATAATAAATTCTAAATAAGTAGCAAAAAGAAAGCAAGAGACAGGTGTCAAATAAGGCATAATTACCGTATGAAAATGTAAATGTACAAATCAAAATAAAATAGAAAGAAAAGTAATAAAATATATGAAGTTTGCATGTTCTCCCTGTGTCTGTCCCTGACTATAGACTATATATTCAGAGGCCAAATTTAGCCTGAGATATAATTATATTTGGCCCGCGAGATCATATCAAATATGTATTAGAGCTGTCCACCGACTAGATAGACTATAGAGACATTATTTATTTAAAATTTTGTTATTATTTTATATTTTGCTTGTTCTGGATTCAATGTGTAAGCAAAACTATTATTAAACATTTATTTTAATAAGTGAAGGTTTAACATTCATAACTCAAAAGAAGAGAAATCATGCAGATGTTGTTGAAATTTTTCAGTAAATATTTAGTTTGGCCCACGACTTAGTCCCAGTTTTTAATTTTGGACCTCTGTGAGTTTAGCACGCCTGATATATATATAAATGGACATACCTAACCTGCTAGCGTTCTAAATAGGAAGTGAGCATGGGGGTGCTTCCTGGCTCCATCCTGTTTAGCTCCAATTGACTTTACAATGAGAAGTTGTCTTCCCGCTCTCTGTAACTGCTGCTATGAGCCTCGTCATTTTGGTGTTAAAATGTTCGCATTAACCCGCTCTACATGATACTAGTGATTTTATTTCTCTATTTTGTATTTTAATAAATTCCTTTTCCTAATATGGAACTGGCTTCTAATTCGCCTCATAACCGCTAGCCTCTGTGAGCTTCATTTCACTGGAACTGAATGCTGTGGGTGACGTCACACTCCCTAAAGGCCGCCACACACTACAGGATTATGTTGGTTTTAAACGATTTTTAAACATGCGACAAAAAGCGCACACCACAGACACGAGGAGAATCTTATGTGACTTTAAATCTCTGGTCGCAAAGACTGCAGTGAGATATGTCTGCACATCACAGGATATAAAGTTGTGAGCGCGATTGTGTCAGCTGTTTCCTGTCTACACTAAAAACAACACTCGCTTTGAGACTCTTAAGTGTTTCAGAATTCAGAGCTCTGCACTTCTAGTTTAGATACAAGTCAAAACTGTTATAATTGTGTGAAATGTGGTGCAAAACTTCAGATACATGATTTTTAAAGCATAAAAAGTCCACAGGAAGTAAGGTCACGATCGCTAATCTGCAGCTTCACCTCGATCCATGCGCTCTGTGGATGTAAACAGACACACATGAGGAACTACTCCTGCCTTTTTACTTTTAAAGAAGGCCTCAAACTGGACTAAAAGTGCATTTGCAGAGGGCAAATTCGATGGATAATAAGGATGCGCTGCTGCAGTTTAAATTTACAACTTTACGAGAGTTGAGTAATAATTATTTTCACTCGATCCCGAGTTTGTATCTTGTGCCTCTGTGTCTGTCGCTCCTCTGCCCCTGACGCTCTGTTTTATTATTTGTTATCGTAGTGTTGCTGGTGTTTTACTGTTACGATCTGACAGAGCAGCTCAGAGCCACACACATGAGGAGGGCAGCGGCTTCAAAATCGCACACGAAGACACAAAGTCAGGTCACACCTCCCTGAACTCGAGGAGAAACAGATCATATCCAAAATCTGGGAAATTCTCTTGTAGCGTGTGGCGGCTTTTAGTCCACTAGAGTAGAGCTGAATGACTGGACCATTGATTAGATTTGATTTAGTTTACCAAAACAAAAAAAAGATGACTACAGTTTCCTGAACATTACAGACGTTTAATCATTGCTGTTTACCACAAAAGAGAGTCATATTTATTCCTCCAAACCTCATGTTTTCCTGACAGTGGCTCATCTAATGAATAAAATGGGGAACATGCTGACTCCTCTCTCCTCTCCTCTCCTATCTGAAGCATCATTGAATTCAAATGTGTGATTCACTGATGCGTCACCGAAACCTGATTCACGTCACATCAAGGAATCGTTTGGGTTTCAATGAAAGAATCAGAATCACTTTTCTCTCAAACAACAACAACTTTTTACCACCAAAGAGTCAGCAGAGGATGTGCAAACTGACTTTTTCTCACTCACAAAAGATTAAATGTACCAGCGAGTGGAATTAGAACAATGTTTTCTTGTTTTCAATTGTTTCCCAGATTGATGTTTGCAAAAAAATAATTGAAAAGTCTGAACACGGCATAAAACAGAGCCTCTTTTCATTGTATTCCGGTAGTGCTTGTGCGGTGGTGAGTCTGTAAATCTGTATATATATTGATTAAAGAGCAGGTTGGAAATGCTAAGTAATTATTGATTTTCTCTATAGACTCCAATGTGTGTTTATTTCCTCACTTAAGACCTGTGAACATACAACTGGACTACATTTAATTCCAGCAGCAGAGACCCTATGGGAGAATATACTGTATTTTATAAATGCAAGGCCATTAAAGCGGAGAGAAAAGGCTGGGTTCAGACTAAATTGTCCATGGATCAAAGCTGCAGTCTAAACAGCGCAATTATATTCAAGGTTCGGTTCACAGGTCACATTTTAAACACGTCTAGGAGGGTTAACATTTAAGAGAAGTCTGAAATCTGAAGATAGAGTAGTAGATTTAGGTAGGCCTATTTGTAGAAGAAATTGTATTAAATGTGCACTTTTCTTTTCTTAATTCTTTGCCAGACACGTTCAGCCGGTTTCACTTCATTTCACTCCGTAGAAACCATCTGGAAGAAGGGAAAGAACGTCTTTCCCCTTGATAAAATTCACCAAACATTCTCTTTGTTCCGGCTTTAAATCTTCGATCTCGGGAATCGTTGCCAACACAGAATGTATGGCTCTTCGCTGATTGGCTGGTGCCCGAACTCGCACTTTCTGAGTTCTTGCAAACCATCTATTATATTTTAATTCCTGACCTAGTCGCTGGAGAGAAATGAAATTGAGTGGAGGCACTAGGTGGCACCAGCCTGGCTACCACAATATAGTATTGAACACTTTTTTGTACTACTTAAACATTACCTTTAAAAAAACATTACTGTAAGCAGGCTCGCCTCTCAACAGATCCGATCTAGTGGCCAAGTTACACGTGCTTGTCTCTGTTGTGAAGTTTAGTGTGGAACATTCTAGGCAAAGCAATTATGTGTTTTTTTTAGATACAGATACAGATTCCCCTATCGTTCTTTGCCATGAAATATCCAAAAGGTAAATGCACAAATGTTGAACCTGATCATTTCTATCAGTAACGCGAGAACTCACTAGTAAGGCTGGTGCCACCTAGTGCCTCTGCTCAATTTCATTTCTTTTCAGTGACTAAGGTCGGGAATCAGAACACACTAGACGGTTTGCAAGAACCCCGGAAGTTGTAGACCGAGCACCGGCCAATCAGTGAAGAGCTGTGAAGCCATGAAGTCAAACAAAGCGTCGAGATGGATGTAGACGAAGACAGACATTCTGTGTTGGCAACGATTTCCGAGATCGAGAATTTAAAGCCGGAACAAAGAGAATGTTTCAGTGAATTTTTTCAAGGGGAAAGACGTTATTGCCCTTCTTTCTACGGGATTTGGTGCATTACATACGTCACGACCAAACAGCAACAACTGGTTAAATACAAAAGTACCCGCCTACCGTCGAGCGAACGAATCCTAATGCTGTGAGGTCAGATAGTTTCCATGAAGTAAAACCAGCTGATGAGCCAGGCTAAGAACTCACTGCATTACAACAGAAATTTATATTTGATATGCCCCCATCTGTATTAAATATTATTGACTTATAACATCTCCATGGAGACAAACAGGTGGCAGACCCTCCAGCGGAAATGTTACCTAGTGTGTCATTTACTGTGTGCTTATTGTGACCATTCAAATATAAATGCTTTTGATTTGATGAAATATAATGTGTGTTTTTGTGTTTGTGTTGACAGAGAGACACCAAAGGCCAGATCCTGTTGGACCATGTGTGTAACCACTACAACCTCCTGGAGAAGGACTACTTTGGGATCAGATATGTGGACCCAGAGAAGCAAAGAGTGAGTACACAAGCTCACACAGACACACAGGGTTTTCTAATATTTAGTTATAGTTTTTTGTTAATACATGATGGGACACGGTACAAGATTGAGAGCCTGTTTACACGAGAACGCTTGCGGGTAAAAACAACATAATATTTTATCAGAAGTGTCAATCGTTTAGATGGTGACGGCGTTTTTGGGGCTTAAAAACGCAAAAATCTGAAGCCACCCTCCAGAGTGGAAAAGTTGAATACGCTCCGCCGTAGCATTTCCGTCTACACTGCCCAAGACGCAAAACTCTGGTCAGATCTGCTCAGGTTTACGTCACATACATACAGATCACAGAAACAAACATGTCAGATCATTTCCATGCATCGGACCTTCAAACTGCTCTAATGAACTTACAGGAGGCTCCCAACAAATGTACAGAATCTGCAGAGATACTATTAGTGAACAGAGAAGGATCTGCAATCACCTCTGTCAAATTCTGGATGCACCAGGTCGTCACAGGTTAGTCAGATGTTTATGGACGAGACCTGGAGAACCAGTCGATGGTGGGACTTTGTGGAAGGAGAAGCAGATGAAAATGTGTGGTGTGAAATCTTCAGTATGTCCAAAGACAAGCACCCAATCGAATTCCACACATTTTTGCAGATTTCCTCCCGAAAACACTTGTATAACCGCAGAATAAAAAGTGAAGATGTGACGCCACTTTTGTGTCTTCTGTTCAGACCGTCATCATATAAACATAGGACATAGAGTCCCCGAGAATGAGGCAGACTTTGAATGTCCACCACTCACACCTGACAGCAAGAAGATTCTGAGTTCGAATTTCTGGCTTTTCTGTGTGGAGTTTGCATGTTCTACCTGTGTCTTGATTGGTTTTCTCTGAGCACTCTGGTTTCCACGATAAACCCAAAACATGCATCAAACAGCTCAGGTCTTCACCAAAACTATTTCAAGATCTGGAGGCAGTTTTAACCCAAAGACATTGAAGGACGGGTGAAATGCAGAGGACAAATTATCGCTACGGGGACAATAAAGAAACCCTAACCTTACCTTAAATTAATATCTTAGACACTATGGGTTTGAGAAGCACTGTATATCTGATTTCACACTAAAATCAATTCCAACTTGGCCAGCCTTTTATTTCTGCTGAAAAAAATAGACTATAGGTTTGTCTGTAATGAAGAATTTAATAGGAGCCATACATTAGGTCCCACTGTGGCTCTTTGTTATTATTACCACTATTTGAACCATAATTTAAATGCATAGGATTTGAGCGTAAACTCTGTAAGCCTGTTGAAATTACATCAGATTTCTTACATTGACCCTAACAAATATGCCTACTGTATCTCCTACCCTAAACAGTAAGTGAAAGGTAAGATTTAGACTTTAAATTTCATAAACTTCACCTACGGATGTCTCCAAATACGGGGCAATCTGGTCTGAATGGACAAACTTAGATGTGTCTCAGTCCGCAGGTTAAGGCTCTGGAGACACAAGTTCAGTTGTGATTGTAGCACCATTTTAAAAATTTGTAAGAGCACAGGCTACACACAGTTCCTTTAAAGGTCCTTTATTGCAGTGAGTTTTAAGCCATGTTAGAATGTTGTTACCTCATCAAAAACATACCCAGAGTTGTGATTTGTTTCATTCACACAAGTCTGAGTAATCCTGGTTTATTAGGTTACGTTTACACTGAATCACCATATTGGAAAAGTTTTCCGTCCAGACACATCGTTTCTGTATCCACAAGTCTTCCCTGTCCACACAGCTTTGAGCATATTTGTTTACGTTTTACAGAAACGAAACTTAAAACCACATAATGCTAATTTGCATAAACTGAGCTTTCTAAGTGGTTCAGCTTCTGTTGAACTAAAGGACACGTCTCGATAGAATATATGTGTTCTTTCTGTGGCAGAGGGATGTTCTGCTAACCTTGGTTGAAGTTGCAGCAGCCGAATTTGAGCTGAGGGAGATGGCAAGCATGAAAACAGTCTTTTCATGGACCATGTACTAGCAAGTAGTTCTAGCTGTTTCCCGTTTGTCTCTGGTTTGTTTAAACAGTTTTCTGCAATAGCGTCACATGATCAATGTCACGAACCAAGAGAATCAGTAAAGCTCAAGTCACAGTGATGTGGTCCAATAAGGACGACAGCTAGAGCGCCTACGTCAGAGTATCAACGTTTTTAGGCATCCACACAGTGCTGGATCAGATCTGTGCTCAGATGAATTCGTGGGAGTTGGCAGCACCAGAATCGTTCCATCTCTGAAGTTGTTTTCCATCAGATTAGTGTGGACGAAAACTGCATCTACAACGAAAACGACTCAAATAGTTACTAGTGTGGATCTATATCTTCAAAGCTAAAGTGACAAGATTTTCAAAATCCAAAACTAGGACACCCCCAGTTTGTGGTGCTCGGTAATAATAAAATTGTGAAACAAGTACGTAATTAAGGAAAATTGTTCTGCACTCGGCCCATTCATGACTAACAACAAAGGGCAATTTATGCTTCTCTTTACTGTTGGCAGGGATCATATTGTTCAAAAATAGGCACACCTGGGACATTTCGTTTGTAAAACTGGGACAAATCAATGGTTTTGGATAAATCTGCTGGAACAGGAGGCACAGGGCTCGAAACTGGGACTGTCCCTGGTAAATAGGGACGTCTGGTCACTCTATTCAAAGCTCAAAATGACCAAAATTGTTCTAATGAAGGTGTGAAGATTTTAAAAACACAATGGAGCACTTCCTGTATTACCGCATGACATCACAAAAGTTTGAGAGTTCAGGGAATGTGCAAATGAAACAAAACACAACTCCAATCTGTTTGTGATGAGGAAACAACATTATAACACAGATCAGAAAATAGCGTAACACGGGCCCTTTAACTAATCTACATTTGTTTACATGGTGACAAGCAGAAATTGCGGCCACCTGAAGGAAAAATTACACAGTGCATCTTTAACAGTAGCAGAAATGCTGTGGAGGAGCCCGGTTTCTTGTCTCAGTGTAATAGAATGAAATGAGATGGAGCAGATACAGGAAGCGCTGTGTAATATGAGCCAGGAGCCTGTTCGAACATTAGTGATTCACAGATGCAGCCAGCCCTCACATTCAAAACAGCACCAGGGTAATGTAGGGAAATAAAACACGCTTAAAGATGCACTGTGTAACTTTTCTGGTGAGAGATCTGTCACCGTGGAGATGTTATTGCTTCCTCTGTGACATTTGACAATATGAAATTAAACATATCCGTCTTGCATTTACTAAATTACTGGTGTTTTTGCTGATAAATATCTTGAAAAACATGCATTCTTACTGTAATCAGTGTCGTCTATCCACAAATCTGATCTGTAACCTCACCTGCTGTTCTGTAGTATCAAATTTAAAGAAATACCTTGGAATATTCTAGGCAAAGCGATAACCTCTCCGTAACTGTACTGTACTGACAGTGTTGGGGAGTAACAGATTACATGTACCGGAGTTATGTAATCAGAGTACAAATTCTGAGTAACTGTATTCAGTTACAGTTACTGTTTCAGTGAGTGGTAATTGGATTACAGTTACTTCGTTAAAATAAATGGATTACACGGCGATATTTTCCTGTTTTCACATTTTGGGCTATTCATTTTTTTATTTTTTTATTTTTTCTTCGGTAATTCCACTCATTGCCAGACACTAAACCAAGTCAAAAAACAGGTCTAAACCAGGACTAAACCAGGTCTAAACCCAGGTCCAAACCAAGTCTAAACCTGGTCTAAACCAGGTTTAAAACCAGGTCTAAACCAGGTCTAAAACCAAGTCTAAACTAGGTCTAAACCAAGATTAAACCAGGACTAAAACAGGATTTAATAGGATTAAACGATGCTGAATGGACCGTGTCTCATCCTCTTCTATCAATAATATTTTTAATATGTTTAAGTAAAGTCTAGTCTTTTCATTTTCTTTTAGCAGACAAAATATCTTATGTGAAGATTTCCTCGTCTTTGTTTCTCTACAGCAAATCAAGTAATCCAAAGTATTCAGATTACGTTACTCACTTTAAGTAAATTAATGAATTATGTTACAAACTACATTTTGGGGTATGTAATCTGTAATTGTTAGAGCCCAACCGATAATTTTGTTGTGGCCGATATGAAACTGATATAATGGGAGTTGGAGCTGCCGATAGCCGATATAATCGATATATTTAGTGATGTAAAAATTCACTGTAAATCTTGAATTGATTAAAAAACTTAGGTTTGGCTCTAGTGGATTCTAAATTGGGTTTATTTAGCAACATTTATTGTTATTTTGACTCTTTACATCATATTTACATACAGTAGATTGGCCTAATGGCATTTTTGCATCACATTTTAGCTGCTAGTGATGGGTATTCAGTTTTTTTACCGGCTCTTTTGGCTGCTCACTAAAGCAGCTGGCTCTTTGCTCCCAAGCGACTCTTGAGATTACAGATAATGAACCAGGACTGAAGTTTCTATCTCTCTTTCAAGAAGTTTATTCAGTTACGGCTGCGGGTTACGTGAGTGAATTCACTCTGGTGGTGTGTTTTACGGACACACACAGACAAACAGATTAAATTAATGTAAATTGGATTATGTTACAAACGTGAAATATTGGCCCATTTTGGGGTATGTCTGTAATCTGATAATATGTAATCTGTAGAGGAATACATTTTAAAAGTAACCTTCTCAACACTGTGTACTGACTGTAGGTGTGCAATAAAAACACCCGTAATTGGCAGATGGATAAGTTTAATGCCGCACTGTGAAACATTTCTGACAAAGTAATACTATCTCCATGGAAACAAGCAAGTGGTGGACCCGTTAATGCGTTATTTATTTTTTTATTGTAAACGTCTGTTGCTCACTGACTTTTATTTTGAAAAAGTCCATCGTGAGTGAGTCTAGAAAGTTAGTTACTGCTGCTGCGCTCACAGAAAACACAGAGAAAGACATTTTTACATGGCCGTTTTCATTTTAAAGTTCTTCCAGACGAAGCAGTCGAACAGATAAAGTCATTTGTAACACTGCAACACTGAATTATCTTATCACCGGAGTTTCACGAGTCTGAAATATCACCTAAACACAAAACACTCTGTTGATGCAAATCGTTCAGTGAAACAAGTGGAGCGAGGATTCAACCGACCACGTCAGATGAAACGTGTCAGAGCCGTCGCTCCACACACACGTTACGCCCAGCACAAAGGCACCAAGAGCTTTCGGGGACACCACCGCACGATCGATCACTCTTCATCACAAACCCCCTCCCCCATACCCCGGTCTCACTTTTCTTCTGTGAGAACCTGGTCCCAGTGATCGCATTCTTAATAATAATAATAATAATAATAATAATAATAATAATAATAATAATAATAATATTCTTGTATGCCTTAGCAACTGACTTTGTGCAGAAAAGTAAAATTACTAGGAACTGACAAACTGCACTAAAGTGTTTTCTGGTTGTGTGTTCTGTTTTCTGACTGTTTTTCACTGAGATTCTAATTTTTATATCAAACAGGAAACATTATCCTGGCAGTGGAAATACATTTCAGTTTTGTTTTTGGTTTGATTTGATTTTTTCAGTTGAGATTTACACTGAATACTTTATTTTATTGCTGCTGAGCACATGCACTTTACTTTTGAATTCAGTTCATTAAGTCAAATTCAAGGAATCAACAAACTGCACTGAAATTGGTTATTTTTTTGAGTGAGATTCTCCAAAGGAAGAAGTATAAACATGGACTTTACAGACTAGTGCCCTGCTCCTGTATCAAGAATTGCATAAATAAATACTAGAAAAGCACTCAGAGAGCGCAGACCTCCGCCAAGGACTACAGTCCCCCTCATATTAATTGTGTTTTCCATAAATATTTGTCTCGTATCTTTCAATTTGGAATATGAAAGAGGATCCCATTGTCCATCCCTGAGTCAAATTTCATGGGGTTTGGTCAATAATTAACCGAGATATTGAGAAACAAAATTTTTGGCCCCATTTACCACAATGTTAACTAAAATTTCTAAGTGATCCAGAATCCAGGATTTCTTCCGGATCACCCCCAAAATGAAATCAGTTCTTCCTTTTCACATTTCCAACAAATCCTGAAAATTTCATCAAAATCGGTCCATAACTTTTTGAGTTATGTTGCTAACAGACAAACAAACAAACAAACAAACAAACAGACAAACGCCGGCAAAAACATAACCTCCTTGGCGGAGGTAATAAATAAACAGGTGTATGACACTTTTGTTTACATTTACAATAAAAGTGTGCTATACGCTACTTTTGAATGAATTAATTGGTTTTATGTATAACATGCGATTAATCATGATTAATCACAGGAAGTCATGTGATTAAGATTTTTTATTTTGCCCAGCCCTAAAATTAACATTTGTTTTTGCTACTTATTTAGAATTTATTATTACCATTTATATTTTTGCTCTTTGTTAATTATATTATACCTTGATGTGTGAGCTGCTGTGTCCAAATCATTTCCCTTGTGGATCAGTAAATTTTGTCGAAGTCTAAAGTCTAACTGTATAAACCTTATAATCTGCGAACTCTCCCTTCTGATTGTCCTTTTTGTTTTTGTTTTCCTTTAGCACTGGCTGGAGCCGAACAAGCCTGTGGTGCGACAGATGAAGTGTAAGTATCTGTTCTGTGCTTCTCTCCAGGGGGCGCTCTCACCACGACAAGGTCAAAACCAAAACAAATCGAACGCAGCCCCGCAGGCCCAGAGCACATGTGCACATCGCGCTCACACGCCCCGGAGCTGCTGATGCCGTGGAAATGATGGAGGGAGAGAGATTAGCCGCAAACCTGTGTCATGTTCAGGTTTAGCACAATGTCTCACAGGCAAAAGCAGATGGAAGAGGAGGAGACAGGTTCAGCTACAGGGAGAAGATGAGAATGGAAACTGAACTCACACGGCAAAGGGACGGGGAGGGTCAACACGGGCTTAAGGTGCAGCGCCTTTAAAGGGCCCATGTGGTGTAGGATTTTAACCCCTCGGTGAGGTGACCCCGGTATTTTGACCCTAGGGTGAGAATCCTATTATGGTATGTTGAGCCCCCCTATGAAAATCTATATTTTATTAATAAAGAACATGAATTCTATAAAAAAAAAAACTTTGACTATTAATACTATATACAGTCCCTGACAAAAGTCTTGTCGCTTATCCATTTTGTAGAAACAAAAGCTTATAACTTGACTTTAAATTAATCGATTGGTTTTAGAAATGTCTCATATGAAAACTAAAACCCTCCCAAATTATGCTCAATAAACTAAAATAAATTTGCTTCACTGAAGAAAGATTGATCATTCAATGAACACAGAAAGGTCAGATTTTGGCAAGACAAAAGTCTTGTTGTCTTGTCATATGATGCACCCAATCCTAGATTACAGCCTCACCTGTGATCAGTTACTGATCAATCAATTAGCGGGTGTGTATAAAAAGAAGCCCAGCACACCAGACCTTCACATCAACTGCAACTTGACCTCTGACAACATGCCTAAGATCCACCCTGAGACCAAAGCGTTAATTATCAAGAGGCTGAAGACCAGATCCACTGCTGAGGTGGTGACACCTTCAATGTGTCTCAGCGTCAAGTACAAAGAATAAGAAAAAGATCTGAAATGACTGGAGATGTTTTTGACAAGCCCAGGTCCGGCAGACGCCGCAAAGACAACTGCTCGGGAGGACCGTTTGTTGATTTAGAAAATCCAAGGTCAGCCCCTTTTCCACTGCAGCAGACTCCACCAGGCCTGGTCACCTCAAGTCCCTGTGTCAACCACAACAGTTTGTAGAATTCTGTCTCGAAATGGCCTCCATGGTCGAATCAGTGCACAGAAACCAGCACTAAACAAAAGGCAATTAAAAAAAACGTGTGGCATTTGCCAAGGCCCACAGCCTGCTGAAAGGATGGACACTGGAAAAGTGGCAGAAGGTGGATTTCTCTGATGAATCCTCGGTTGAATTACATCACAGCCGCCAAAATATTGCAGGAGACCTACTGGAGCCCGCATGGATCCAAGATTCACCCAGAAAACAGTTAAGTTTGGTGGCAGAAAAATCCTGGTCTGGGGTTCCATCCAGTATGGGGGTGTGCGAGACATTTGCAGGGTGGAAGGCAAATATCAATAACCTAAAATATCAAGAAGTATTAACTACCTCTTACATTCCCAACCATAAAAGGGGTCAAATTTTGCAGCAGGATGGTGCTCCATCACATACTTCTATCTCTACATCAAAGTTTCTCAAGGCGAAGAAGATCAAGGTGCTCCAGGACTGGCCAGCCCAGTCACCAGACATGAACATCATTGAGCATGTCTGGGGGTAGAATGAAAGAGGAAGCATGGAAGGCAAAACCAAAGAATCTTGATGAACTCTGGGAGGCATGTAAGACGCTTTCTTTGCTATTCCTGATGACTTCATCAACAAATTGTATGAATCATTGTTGAACCACATGGATGCGTCCTTCAAGCTCATGGAGTCATACAAGATATTAAATATGGATCTCACAGCACCACTACTTCATTCACTGACGTTATGCAACATATTTTTGTATTTGAAGTAAATTATTTGTTCAATTTTCTGTAGGCGACAAAACTTTTGTCTTGCCAAAATCTGACCTTTCTGTGTTCATTAAATGATCAATCTTTCTTCAGTGAAGCAAATTTTTTTTTAGTATATTGAGCATAATTTGGGAGGGTTTTAGCTTTCATATGAGACATTTCTAAAACCAATCGATTAATTTAAAGTCAAGTTATAAGCTTTTGTTTCTACAAAATGGATAAGCGACAAGACTTTTGTCAGGGATTGTATATGGGCCCGGTCAAGCAGAAAATTCAAGTTAATGCATCTGATATAAAAATGTATTGAACAGATACATATGTACTCTAGTTTATGAAACTGTTTACCTTTTTACTGTACCATTTTTGGTTCTAAAGTTACATATGTTTTAAACAGACCATGTATGAAACATGGAACAAAAATTACTTCCCAAATTTCAAAGACCTGCAAATCATGTAAATAAATGGATGTATTTCATCATATCTTGTGTTATTCAATCTTTGAACTGTTGATGAAAGTACATGATTTTAAAAAAAAAAAAAGTATTTAAAATGATAAAAATTTGCTTGGAAGGACTGACATAGTTTATAGAAATAGTTTCCTTTCATTTTGAAGTAATATTAAAGTATTCGGAAGAAAAAAGTGACAAATTATGCAAAATCCTGCACCTTCTACTTGTTTGCACAATTTTCCCTCCGTTACTTTTCCCTCTGTTACCATGACCTTTCTTAATAAAAAATCTCATTACTCAAAAAGTAAGTAAGTAAATAATCTTGTACCATATGGTAGAAAACTATATGAAGCAAATATTCAAACCAGTTTGTTAAGGATATGTAAGTGAGAACCAAGAGTTATCACTGTTTGTATTTATTGCCTAAAAAGTGCTGCTTATTTCATTCCCTCTGTTACCAACATGAGTTTTTTTTTTTTTTTTTGTCAACAACTTTAAATAATATCACAGGTTTAACTTGACCCTGTTGGAGTGTTAACTCTTTCCTACATTCTGATACTTTACTTATTTCAATAGTTCCTCTAGTTTCTGAATAAGAGACATTTGAATGTAAAATCTGCCCCTGTTTCCCTCCGTTACCACTTGACCAGACCCATCTGCAAATTAAAACATATTGACATATTTAAAAGTGTTTTTTGAAGAACTCAGATGCATTTTTTATGTCGATTCTAACTTTTGAGTATTAAAAATGACTTAGTTTTTTAAAGGTTGTATGGAGGATTTTTTTCTTGTTTCAAATTGTCATTGAAAGTTTAAAATACCATTACAGAGACGCAGCAGCCTTGTAATTATGATGACCAAAAAAAAAAAAAAAACAATGAAAATCTATCAACTGTGGACGTAGTGAGGCCAGATAAACATCAGCCAATAGATAACGAGGCTCCCTCTTTATCTATTGTCTGTTAGGTTGTCAAGCAAACTCTCTACATTTCTAGTGTAACTGACTTGCAGGCACGCGGGGATTACATGGTTTATGCGGCGGTACTTAGAGGCTTTTTCAAACTGTCTCCTCCTCGCAATTCGCACAAAGTTTATCGTGATGGCGGACGAGAATCCACGACCAGTTCGACCGCAAAGGAAAGTCAATTTTTGAGGTCGCTGAAAGAAGAAGAGAAGGGAAAAAGGAACGAAGACAAACTGAGGTGATTCTTGGAGATTTCTTCCAGCGATGGCGCGACCGAAGCAGACGCAGGGTCTAAAAACTGACACGTCGGTCACTAAAATATTTCTAGACAGTGTTATTAGGTTCTTTTTTTCAGACCTAGAGTGTTATTTCATACCTGACAGTTTCGACTGCTCACTAGCGTCTTCCTCAGAGTCACGTGATGTTGCTGTGACGTGTCTGGTCAGCTGATATAAACACGGAGGGCGTTCAGTACACGAAAAAAGGAACATAGAACAGAATGCGAGAATGAAACAGCGAAGGCGAAACACGAGCAACAAAACACAAAGCAGAACAGGAACAACTCAAATCGGCCATTTCTGACCACTGTAACAGAGAGAACCACGTTATGGACTGGGATGGAGCAAACATCATTGGGACAGAGGAAAACAAACATCGCCGCTGGATTAAAGAGGCAATCGAAATACGGAAACGTGCCCACAGGACTGTAAACCGGGACGAGGGGGCATTTTTACTCTCACACACCTGGGATACTGTCCTGAGGAAGTCGGACTGCAGATGGCGCTGTCGTCCTGCCTCCACCGGTAGGAAGACAACGCCAAAACCTGTTTAAATCAGCTGACCAGACACGTCACAGAAACATCACGTGACTCTGAGGAAGACGCTAGTGAGCAGTCGAAACTGTCAGGTATGAAATAACACTCTGGGTCTGAAAAAAAGAACCTAATGACATAGAATATTGGAAGACCAAATGAATCTCATTGGACTATTTCTAGACAGGTCGCAACAGTAATTCTGAACGCGCACTGGCTGTAAACGTGATTTCTAGAGTAAAAAGGCAGGAGGAGGTGTTTCTACTGAGGAGCTGTGGAGGAGGAAGGTGGAGTCACACATGCACAACATTTGAAAAAGGACTGTCGCTGTATTTCACTGCCCTTAAAAAAATCCTCTATACATCCTTTAAACTCATATTTTACTGAAAATTAGGTAAGTAATTATTATAGTTAGGTAATCAAAGTGATGTAAAATAATTTGGAATCGTGTTAAAATAGACAGGGCTGATCAGTTGAGTAGTTAAATAGGGGAAACCTATGGCTATAGTGATCTGCCCCCCCAATATGTTTATTATAGTTATGATGATGTAAAGTAAGAAGTAACGTTAGTTGAATATTGACAATGATCTGTTGTTTGGTATTTAGTATCTCATTATATCAGGGGTCTCCATCTTTTTCCTCCTGTGAGCTACTTTTTGTAAAACGAAAACACTAGAGAGCTACTCATTTTAGCAGTAAATATAAGAGTCATGGCAAGTCATAGATGAAGTACAGTTAGATGCCTATAAAACATAAACTATTATCAGTTTATTAGTGCACAAAGTCAGGCATCAAATGATACATGTAAAATGAAAATAGGCATAAAATCTGAGTTATTTTAGTGCA